TGGCCTAAGCTCTCCCCCACCCCTCCACCTGCCACCATTCGCCTGCATGTGGCTCCTGGAAATCTCATGGGCCTAAGCCCATTTGAAATCCTATATGGCAGGCCCTTTCTCATTAACCACAACCTCCTGGTCTAGTCCCCCCCACCCCACCCCAGCATCACACCTTCCTTATCTCTCTCTCCTCCGCCAGCTGCATCGTGAACACGCCGACTGCATCCTCCCAACCCTCACTCCATCCACCTCAGTCTCAGAGTGCTCTCCTGGCCCTCTCTAGAAGGGTGACAGAGTGCTACTAAAAGAACTCCACCATTGCTCGCTCCACCTCAAAACGTCATCGTCACCACCACCCATAGCAGCTAAGCTTTTGGGACAACTCTCTTGGTTACTCTGAAGCCAAATCCAAGTTCCCTGGGTGGCTGTCAACCAAATGATCCTCAATCCCTACATACAAGTTGCCCTGACTTCCCCTCATTGCCCCAACTCAGCAGAAAGTAGTTAATGATTGAACGGCACCCTATAACACCAAAAGAGTCAGGATGTTAGGTCAGAGGCCTGGGCAGCTTGGATGAAGGGGTTGGACGTCATGCTACAGTCAGTTGATGCAATCTGAATCTAGTCTGTCATCAGACCTGCACTGACCTGGATCTCACCCGGATGTAGCACACAGAGCTCTACTCTGCACATGGCGCCAGACTTTCCGTGGCACAGTAGTCTGCTCTCCCTCTAAACTATTACCATACATGGGCTGTTTCTACCTCTAAGACACTCCCCCTCCCTATATCCTTATAAAAATCACTAAACTCCACCCTAGGGAGTGACTTCTCTGGCCCCCTCAATCTTTCTCTGTCAGACCAATGAACGTTACCTGGGAGCGCTCCCAATAAAGGCTCCACATTTCTATTTTCTCACGTGGTCAGCACATTCCTTACACCACCCTCTAAGAGCTCTATAAGTGTTGGCTATGATAAGTACTGCTTTTTTAAAAATTCTTTCTATTTATTATTATCTTTTAATTTGACCTGAGAGAGAGAGTGGGAAAGTGAGAAAGTAAGCCGCCAGATCTGAAACTCAAACTGTGGTCAGTTATGTGGAAGTCCAGCACTTTAATCACCATGCCACCTGCCAGCTCCCATAAATATTATTGTTATCAGTAGATATAGAATAAGGTGGTCAGAAAAGTGCCTTCTAAATGTTGCTAATTTCTGTATGACATCTTCTAATAATGAAAACCCCGAATAAGAGGCTATGAGAATAACTGGCCAGACACAGTAGTGCAGCAATGTTATGATGCTGAAGACACATCAGAAAGTCTCGGGTTTGTGTCTTGAGGTCTCCCTGAACACTCCAGGTGCAGTGTCTGAGCAGTGGTCTTGACTATGTGAGAGTGGAGACCTGCCAGGGGTGTCTGTCTCTTCCCTGCCACACACAAATAAATGAATAAACTTTAAAAAAAGTAACCGGAGTTTAAAGAAAAAGAAAAGGCTATAAGGATAATCACAATTAACATTTATTTAAAACATTTCAAATTAAATCTCTAAGACAAGAATGAGAATTTAGATGGCATATAACTCCAGCCAACAGCAAATGTCATCTTAAACAATATCTACAGAATCACATATTTCCCATTCCTTTTCAAGCTTGTACATACCAGTCAAAGGAGGTATAATATGCAGTCATATAAGCAAAAAAGTGCCTTCAAATGAACAGTTAATTTTAATAGCTACCTTTCTGTAAAATCAAAAGTAATCTTTATTTAGTATGACTTCTGTCTTCTAATATTAACCCTCAGTAAACAAATGTAAGTGTTAGTGTTGTACTTTAAAATATGGTTAGAGGGCTGGTGTGTGGCATGGTGGTTAAGGGCGCTGGACTCTCATATGGCCAACTGCAGTTAGAGTACTGGAACTGGTGGCTTGCTTTCCCACTTTCTCTCTCTCTCTCACTCTGTCCCTCTCTGGTCAAATTAAAATAAAAATATAAATAAACAAAGGTAAATAAAATAATTCTTTCAAAAAATAGATGGTTATTTTGCCTGAAATTCACCAAAATAAATTAGTATTTCAGTTTAAATTAATATAAAATTAATACAGTTTAGAATACCTTACATTTATATTAAATTAAATAAAAATTATTACAGCATATGGTCTTTTTTTTTTTTAAGAATTATTTTATTTAATTTTATTTTCATTTGACCAGAGAGGGACAAAGTGAGAGTAAGAGTGAGAGAGAGAGGAGACAAAAAGCAAGAAAACAAGCCGTCAGATCTGGGACTTGAACTGCAGACAGCCATGTAGGAGTCCAGCACCCATGTCACCTGCCAGCCCGGGCATAGGAGTTTTTAATTTGTAAAAGAAATTCATAAATAGTTTTAATGAGTTTTCCCTTTATGTATTTTTTAATGTTTTCATAAATATATTAAAAGACAAAACATAAATTAACTCATAAGGGTATAACCCATAGGTAGTTCTTAGGATTAGCTATATGCTATTCTTTTTTTTATTAGAGAGGTTTTTGCTATAGGGCATGTGTGCTTGCCGGAAGAGACAGACAGAAATGTAAGAAATCACCTGGAGGGGTGATGGTCACACTGCAATCCCTGCTCCTCTAGTCTCCTTCCTGCACGGATGCACCCACCCCCAGTGTGAGTTTTAAGCTGCAGAGTTTGGGACTCGAACTGGTCTACTATGTGGGAGTCCTGCGACGTAACCACGACGCATCTTCCGGTCCCCAAAAGTATGTTATTCTTAAGAGAATGAAGAACTCCTACAAATGCATGGTCTTACGTTTCCTATTTCAAGAAAACTTCTATCAGCATTTCTGGCCTCTATACCTAACTTCAAGTTAGGTATTCATAACTACCATAAAGAATCAGGTACAGGTAGGGAACCAGCAGTTAGCGTAATGGCTATGTCACTGGACTCCCCCGTAGTCGACCACAGTTCGCGTCCCGGACCCGGTGGCTTAAAACTCACGCTGGGCCCGTGTGCATGCGTGCCCAAGATCCCGAGAGGAGAATGGAGGAGAAGGGATTGCGGCGTGACCATCCCCTCTGGGGGGTGATTTCTCACTTTCTGTCTCTATGTCTCTGTCTGTCTGGCGAGCACACGTGCCCTATAGTGAAAACCTCTCAAAAAAAAACAAAAACAAACAAACAAAAAGAATCAGTTGCAGGTTACAAACAGCACTCAAGGCTGATCATTTAAAGGCCTAGGATTAGACAATTAAGAGTTTAACTGCTTGGGAACAGCAGTTAGCGTAATGACTATGTTGCTGGACTCCCATGTAGTCAACCACAGTTCATGTCCCTGATCCGGTGTCTTAAACTCACGCTGGGCCCGTGTGCATGCGTGCCCAAGATCCCGAGAGGAGAACGGAGGAGAAGGGATTGCGGCGTGGCCATCCCCCCGGGGGGTGATTTATAGCTTTCAGTCTCTCTCTGTCTGGAGAGCGTACAAGCGCTATAGCAAAAACCTCTTAAAAAAAAAAAAAAAAGAGTTTAACTGCTTTGAGGCCAGCAGGTGACATCGTGGTTGAGGTGCTGGGTACTCCCACATGGCTGACAATGGTTCAAGTCCTGGACCTGATGGCTTATTTTCTCATTTTCTCTGTTTCTCTCTCCAGTCAAATTAAAATAAATGAATAAATAAAATTTTAAATAAATAGTTCTTTTAAAAAATGTTTAACTGCTTTTTCTGCAAACCATGTAACCCAGCAACATATAAAATTAACCAGTTACAGCAGTTACACAAAAAATATTAATTTTTGGCAAATGACTTTCTCTCTTTTATAATTTACAGATTATTTGAAAACTAAAGATAAAAATGTATAACACTGTAACTAGCTTAAGAATATAAACAGAGCTTAAAAAGCATATATGTTTGGGGGAGTGAGAGGATTTGGATTTGGCTGCATTTGAACCCAAGCTCTGTCACTTAAAAACAGTGGTCTTGGCATGTTACCTTCCTAATCCTCAGTTTCCTCATTTATAAAGTGGAGATAGTAAAAGAACCGACCTCAAAGAGTTATTTTGAGATAATCCCAAGGGAACAGAGTCCAACCCACCACTAAGAAGACATGCTTCTATCGCTGTCATCAACTGCAACACTAACAGAGAAGCTATTAACTGCTTTGCCTAGAAGTACAGCCTCAAGCATCAGAAAGGTAAATCCACAGCCAAGAGAAGATAAAACATTTTGTAAGGAAGCACGCCTCTGTTGTTATTTTGAAGTTTCGTTATTTTGAAGTTTCCCACCATAAGCAACACAGAATTTTCTAGATTGCTCTTTGGAGCCAAAGATTTGTGGCCATACTTCTAAGCAAAGCAGTTGAGAGTATTTCCTTTAGTGCTGCCAAAAAAAAAAAAAAAAAAAAAATCAAAATTAGACCCACGAATGCAACGTTGGTTACCGCAAGCGTCAAAGAAACACCTGCCAATCCATTTCGAAAGAATGGACAGAATCTTTCCAATCCTAGAACTTTCGAGCCTGCAGCACGAAATGGGATGCACGCGCCGGCACACACACACACCTAACTTCTGCCATTAACTCCGCGCGGCAGCCGACTATTTGCTTTAGGGACTGCCGATCTTTAAAGGGCGAGGGAAGGAAGAGAAAGAGATGCTTGTGTTCCGCAGTCCGCAGGGCCTTACTCCCGGGCAGGGCGGAGCGGGGTGCGCCCTGACACCAGCGAGTGGAGGAACTGGGAAGTTGTGTCTCCCAATCGTGTGCTGGGAACAGTCGCGAACTGGGCACAGGGGTTGCCCGGATCTGACCGGCTCTCACCCTCTACGAGGACTCCGCGGGTTCCTTCCTTTCACGCCGCGCCCACCCGCCTGGCAGCGACCAGTGCGGGCTCCACGCGTGGAGGCCAGAGGCACGGCCGCGCTAGGCTCCTGGGGCCGGGCTGGGCCGGAGGAGGGCGGCGCCTGCTCCGCCCGCAGCACCCTCCTGGAGACCCTGCCCCGGCCCGCGGCGCCAGGCCGCCCGCAGCTGCACGCTGCCCGACTCGGCGCGCGACAGGTGGTGCTGTGGTTGCAGAGGCCCGGGCCCTGCCGCCCTCCCGGACGATGCTCAGCTCCTGCGTCGCCCGGCCCTCCCTCCTCCGAGGTTTCCCAGGCTGGCGCCTGCCCGGGTACCTTTGGCGTGGGCTGCCCGATACCCACCGAGGTCTCCAGGAAAGCAGCAGAGAGGACAGGGCGTGGGAGGAGAGCCGGCGCGGCCCCCGGCGCTGACGGACGGACGCGCGGGCCAATGGCTGGCGGGAAGCCTACTGGGGGCGGGGCTCTGCCGGAGGGCTTC